CATCATAGGCAGAAAACAGTATATCTTGTGGTATTATTGCATGCTGCTGCTGCTCCTCTGCAGGCACGGCTCTCTGGGGTTCACGTTAAACTCATAATGATTCAGTTCAAGCTTCTGAGAACATCTGGTCCCCGTGGCACATACGCTGCAGCTTAACGTAGATATTACTGTAAATATTATTGCAGTCACTCCTGTAGCAGCAGGATGGCACCTAACCTTGCAGTTACTGTGCTGAGAACAGGTCAAAGATCCATCTTAGCTCCACCACAGTCATAGGGTTCTTGTCTGTGCTGCCTTCATCATCATCATCAGCTGATACTCCATTATTGCTTCTCTCAGGATTGTTCAAAGACTGCAGAAGATACCGGATGGGATACCAGACTGTTCCTTGCTATTGGGAATAAAGGGAGTAAGAGTGTGTTCTCTGGGGGAGGGAAACAAAGGCACTATGGATAGCATACAAAGCACTTGTAGAAGGCAGCATTGAGACTCAAGTTTGTCCAGATGAGGCAAAGCAGACTATCAAAGCCTCACACATGGTCACTGCAGATGTGTTTTATGAATTATTTTTTGATTGAAGTTTTTCAGCATCAGCATTGCTAGAGAAGCAGTCATTGCCTTTAAGCCTTGTCTCTGAGTATATAGATGCAAACAGATCTCCATCATACCTGAGTGGTGCAAACCACTGCAGATCAAAAGATTATAAACTCCAATGATTGCAGTGGGAGAACTCACAGGAGCTTGTGATTCTGTACTTGTGTGTATCTTATTATACAGAGAAATTCAATGAGTGTTAGAGTACTGTGGAAACAAACAATTTATGTAGCTGTCAGAGTTCTCCAGCACTGTAATGGCAGATGCTGCAGGAGCTCCACCACTGACCATCAGTAGTGCTTTCTGTAGTTCAACTTAACTTTTTTTTTGGTAGCTGGTCATTTTCTTCTTATTTATAGCTGAGATACAGTTGGAATCCCTGTGAATTTTCTCTGCAGGAAGAGGCAGAGAAGGTTCTATGTGATGTATAAGGTCAGTCATGGGATTGGCCTTCCTGAGTGCACAGAACTAAGCAGTGTTGACTCATAAGAGAAATAATCAGCAACTTTGATGTAGGGACAGAGAAAACAACACAGAGAGGACTGGTTTGGCTCTCACCAGGTTGATGCAGTCTTGTCTTCCTAAGGCTGAAAGCCAGGGCTCACAGGGATTTGAAGCCTTAAATCCTGGTGGCAGGGAGAGGGGAAAGGAAGTAGTCCAAGGAATGCTGGTGAAAGCTGCCAAGCATGCAGCAGGGAAGGCCAAAGATCTGGATTAACTGCACTAAGGGGAATTTCCAGTCATCACTTGTGAGCTTTGCAGAGCTAAGGGAAAATGTGAATGTTGTAAGACTCATTATACTACTGCTTTGTGCTTCAGGGTTGACACAGCTATTAAGGCAATGCTCAATGCTTTGAATTCTGAATGCCACAGCACTTTTTTTCAGATCTCAAAAAGAGGTTAGCATTTAAAACGTGCCACGTCCTTGTTTAATCAAAGCTTTACACAGAGACTCTAGAAGGATAGAACTGTCAACATAGCACGTGTGTCAAAATTTTGCACAGCAGGCGAGGCAGGTGCTCCTCACCAAACGGAACCTAACCTCGGCTGGCAGGTAAGAGCCTTGTATTACAAAGCTTACAGCTTCACTGTACAGAAGCTCTGTTCACATCTGTTATAGGAAGAATGTCATAAACGAGGTTTTCTGATGCTCTGCTAGTCTGGAATTACTAAAGGTCACTCTGCATCTGCAAACCACTCGACAGAGCCTCAGCTGAAGCCAGTGGAACCTCCTCAACTTGTGTTAGTAAGGCATGGGGATTTTAGCAGTATTATTTCTCTTTCAGATACAGTCAGATGGTAGGAGATACCAAACCCTGTAGTAGCTGCACTAAACACAAAGCCTTGTGCAAACTCTAATGATCTGTGCAGGAACACAGCTGTAATAATCGTGACTCATAACTTGCCCTTGGATCCTTTTACTCAGCAGTCTGAGAGTGCTGACTGCTACCTAAGTATAGATGAAAAAGTGACTCCAAAAGATTCTGTATGTTTGTTTCAATCTATCTTATGAAAACGAAAGCTGGATGCTTTGTGAGAAAAATCTTTGAAGTCTGTGATGCATAAAACCTTCAGATATGAGTGCTTTGTGGTTTCAGATGCGTTGACACATTGTCAGCTTTTTCTGACATTGCAATGGATAAAAATAAAAGTAATTTTAAGCTTAGTGTATTATGTGCTGTTCTGAACAAAAATGGAAATACTTACTAGAAAAAGGTGTGTAAAGAATAAACTTGTTTGGAGATTAAATGCTGCTGATTTAATAATACATCAGACTGCCACAGCAACAGGTTCTTAGTGACTCAGACTTTATGAATATTTACCAGAATTGTCCTGGATGAAAGAAATTCAAAACATTACTTTCAGAGAACTGCTGAAGTCTTGGGTTTCCTTTACTAGGAGCAAATGTTTGCTGTGTTAGCAAACCACTTGTTGAGCAAGGAGCAGTTGTTGGGACTATGGGACTATTTTGCTTTACAGATACAGTATCAGCACTGTCATCCGTGGTGATTCGGCTACTCAACAAACACCGTGTGAATGATCTTCTGTTTAGGAATAGCGCATTTCTGTAGGGTTAAAGCTCATCTAGGGGAGAGGGAGAGAACAGCTGCTGATAAATGCCATTTATACCTTCCCTGGGATGAAGCTGTTAACATGCCCGCATCCTTCTCATCACCGCCAGTGTCTGTGAAAGGGGAGCTGTGGTCCCAGGCAGCAAGGTTCAGTGTCGGGATATGCAGCTTGCAAGACACAGTTGGTCTGGCTGTTCTCTCCTTCCTTTTACAAGCAGCTTACTCCATCTGCAGGCTCTTTCTTGACCCACCCTCTGAGCTGAATTTCAGCTGAATTGCTACAGGGCTTGCTAGGACATGAGAAAATTGCTGCCCTGTTTGGCATTAATAGGAACATGAGTATTTATCTTGGGAAAGGTGTGCTTCCAGCTAGCTGAGAATAGCATCCCTCCTCTGCCAGGGTAAGCTGGATTTATTTATTATTTTACAACATTTCTTAAATGCTGGAGGGCTAGGACATCGTGGGACAAGGATTTCAGAGAAGCTGAACTCAAAGTGAAGGCCTGTCTTACACACTTTAATTTTACTAGGACAGAGGTTTCTCTGTTAATTTATGAATCCTACATATTTCTTGCTGATGGGACTCCAGTTCATATGTACAAACGAAATAAACCAAAGTATGCCGATTGCTGAGGAAGAAAATTGTGTTCTAGCAGTGCAGAGATGGAACTGATTGACAGCTGGAAGTTTGGTATCAATGAAGCCTGTCCTCTGGAAGCTTCTGCTACAGTTCTGGCAGTAACACTTCTGTCTGAAATAGAGATTGAATCTGAATTTGCTTAGTTCCGTTTTTTCCACTTTGAAGAATTATTTTTATATTCTAGGAAGAGCCTAGGAGAGAAGTTAACACAGCAGACTTTCTGGAATTTCATCACAGTGAGATTTGCCTTGTGTAATATTGCCTGTGAGTAGAGATGCAGCTGGCTAGCTCACTGTTCCCATGGAGCTTTACATCAGTGCTACTGTCAGGCTTTGTCTGTGGAAATCGGCAAGTCAAGCTTTTTAATTAATAATTCAATGGAAGAAAATATTTCTTTGGTATTTCACTTCTGTCCTAAATCTCTACTTTCCACACTATGTTAGTGCAACAAAATGCAGTTGATTTTTATCAATAAACTCTCTTGAGTGTTACCAGTTAACTGTCTGCATTCTAGCACATCAGGTCTGTATTTCTAGAAGCAGTAGGTTTGGGTAAAGAACACGAGGCACTTGGGACTGGATTCTCAGAAGGTCCTGACTGCGTACCCTCTGCCATCTGATTTTGTAAAACCACTGCCTATTTTCTTACAGTATTTTCAACTCATTTAGATGGTCATAGTATAGATGAAATTGTTTTAAATCCTTTATTACAAAGATCAAAAGTCATGGCTACCATTACATACACAATTTACAAATTATTCACAAAGGGAGTAACAGATATGCAAGAACTGACAGCTTTCTTCAGCCCAGGTTGGGGACGGGACAGTGTCGTGGTTTCCCTGCTTTATTTTCTGGAAGAAAAGATATGTTTGGTTTTTGTTGTCTGTATGTGTTTAACACTGATGTGTTTATGTAGCACCTTTAGTCATATCAGCAAATGCTCACATGCTTGTCTTTATTTGAGAGAGTGCAGTGCATGTATAAATATGCACTGGGATCTGTACTCCCCACGCTGCTGAAGAGTACAGCAACTGTGTGTGTTGGTCAGAAATCCCATCGATTTTGGTATAATACAGTGGTCAGGCTTGAAAAAGTTGATTTGCAGGATTTCAGTGATTTGAACAATGCGTTATTAAAAATGGAATTACTATCAGAACTCTTAAGGACTAAATCAAGTATCTTTCAAGAATACTATATGATCTTAAGATAAGTATTAGCTGTGTTGTCAGATGTCTTTGACACTACAACTGATGGATTGCTTTTCCTTTGTTCAGGTTAGCATGTTTTATGCCATTTCCTAAAGTCTATTTCAGAGACTGGGAAACTTAACAACAAAGAATCCTACTTTGAGAGATTTGGTAAATTAGGAAACTTCACAGAATATCTTACAGCACTTAACAAAAGGGAGAATGAGTTTCCAAATCCCTTGTTATGAAATCACAATATCAACAGTGCAGTAGCTGCCATTTAGCTAAACTTACAAACATCCATAACTTGCACTTTTTGCTGTCCACTGGGGTGACGTGTATGACAAAATGCTTGAAGGAACACACTGACTTAGGAGCAAACACAAGTATAAATACAGAAATCACCAATATGATGTTGCATCCAAATTCTAAGCAATAAAGCAAAACACTTCACAAAAGTTTTTACGTCTAGTGGAACCGTTTAGTGGGCATAATCCAAATACGACAGTATTATGATGCTATGACTTTCTACCCAGCTATCAAATACTCTTTACCATGAACTCTACAGTATTCTCAGGGTGACAGATAAAGAATGTAATAGATGCCATGGTAAACTTAAAATACAGTAATAGGCAAAGATTTTAGTGGCACCACCTGTGTATACAACATAGTTGTTGGAACCTCATGGAACAAAGCAATGTTCCAGTATGCCTTTGTTAAGGCTTCTTGCTGGTTTAAAAAGGTAGATTTTTCTTGAGGGAGATTGTCCAGCAGTATTGGTTTCACATCCCTTCAGTGGAAGGTCTCTTTATTGATCCACATAAGACTGCGCGTTTCATTTGGTTTGCATTCATACTCAATACTACCAAAGCTGTTTCCCCATTGGCAATGATCTCGTTTGTGGTAGTTGTAGAATTTGACTTGCCAGACAGTTTCGAAAACGCCAATGTCGTTAAACTGGGAGGAAGAGGGAATATCAGTGTTAGTGAGCTGGTTATTTTGTTGGTTTCTCTCTACTCATGAGAAACAACACTCTCTGAAAACTGCAGAATGTAAACCAGCTGATATAAGGGTTATTGTTCCTCAAGTCAATAAATCAAAGATCTGTAAAGCCTGCTCTAGCAGTCATAAAGTCTTTCATGCTTAGACATACATAAAACATGAGGGATCAGATTCTCCATATGCTGTCCTCTTGCGCTTATATCGGAAAGGCAAGGGAGCAAAAATGTTCCAGTTCCCATATAGATAAATGTCACTAATGGCAAGAATCAAAACTATAATCCTTCTTAACATGACACAGCAGTAGCTGGCATGATGATCTCAAAGCGGCTTGTGTATATGTACATGTCACATAGCAGTGACCTGTAGTGCTACAGGCCATTGCTTCACCTTTATACCATGGCTAGAGGCTGCCGTTACGACTGGGAAGACTACTACTTTTGCTTAATCTGTAAAATTTAATGTCCCTGTATTTTGTAGCCTTGTGTTTGCAGTGTCTTGATTGAGACGTGCTGCTGTTAGACCACTCACTCCTTCCCTGGGATTCTGTTCTGCATTTTATGTGAAAGCTAAGCAAAAGAAGTTCTCCTTGGTGCGTTTCTGTAACTGCTAGTTCTGCTCTGATGGTCCAGCTTTTCAAGCTTAGAGATGAGTAACAGAGGCTAGGAAGGAGATACTCAGCACGTGTCAGCAGCTCAGTGTCAGGGCAGTGAAGGGGTAGTGAGATGCTGACTGCAAGTTGTCTGATTGTGTTTGCACCTTGGAAGTGAATGAGACTATGACTATACTAAGTTCTGCAAAATAAAATCTCTCACTTTTTTGAAGGCATTGCTAGATTCCCTTGCAATATGAGAACAAACCGTATGAAGGAGGCTCAACAAGGGTAGATCTTTACTTCAGTTATGATGGTGATGTGAAATTTGAGTTCCTGTGCCTTGAGACCTTGCAGAGAGTCTGAAGTGTGGGTGTGAAGCCTGTGTGCATTGTTGTTGGTCCCAGTAGTATGGTTTGTTGGTTGTGCTGTGTTGTTAGTAGGCACTCGATAGTGGATTCAGAACGACACTCTGTTCTTCAACATTTTTTCCTTTTAAATATTTCCATCACTCACTTTAATGACAGCTTCTTCACTTGACTATTTTTCATTCCCATCATGTGCCTGGGAGCTGACCTTTGATCATCTGCCTATTGTAATCACACTTGCAAAGTCAGTTTGAAAGCCCTTTTATACAGTGACTCTTCCTGGGTTGCAGTCAGAGCCATCCATATCCAGTGTTCTCAGAAGGACATGTATTTTTTTTAATCTAAGATATGGTTTTTAAGCTGCTGCTGTATAGTGGACATTGCTTTAAATCTCCCCCCTGCTCACTGTGCTAATTTAAATTTAGCCTTGACAGCAGCAGGAGTTGCTGTGTGCTGTTAGTGGAAGGTTTTTATTTGGCTCTAGTTCCAAGTGATACCTTAAAGGAGTAGCTGAAATGTTTCTGCTACTTCCTCTGAAAAAAAGAGAATCAGATGTACAGGCTATTTCATCTCTCCCGGCAACTAAAACCTTAATTAAGGATTTTTTTTTTTTATTAATCATCTTTGTTAGTAATCCCGGTATACTCCTAATGCAAGATAGTAAAGGTTAAGCACATTGGATATTGCTATGTGCAATCCACACAGATAACTGTCAGAGAGGAGCATCAGTCTGGAAACTGAGGAAGAAAAGGCATTTCCTATAGCATTTGTAGGAGGTGGTATGATACAAGAGCAGCATTTCATTTCAGTAACGTATGGAGGGTCTGAATTTCAGCAAGAGAGAGGAAGAAAACAAATTCTGACTTCCTGCGATGACCCAGTTTGCTGAGCTAGCCCGAGCAGTTTGACTGCTGTGGATTTTCAGGAGAAGGAAAGAATTAATTGCAGAGCTTTTCTGCTACCACGTGCCTCCCCCCAGCACAGCGCTGGGCAGATGCAGCAGCTCTGTGGCGTCACGAGCATTCTGCATCCTCAGAGCTCCCCTGAATTCCCGTGGCTCCTGCTGCTGAATTCTGGCTCCTGCACTGC